AAAAAACTGTTTTGCATGCTTCAGATATCAGATTTATGTAACACTTTACATTGAAACACATATACAAAAAGAATTGACCATGCTTTTGCGTTTCCCATTAATAGGTTCTTGCGCATTTTCCCAATAATTATGCAAATGCACCACAAAAATGCACTTTTATTTGTTTCTAAAGCTGCCATGAAGGAGATCCTACCTTTGTCCATGGTCTCCGGCGGTAATGCTCGGCGTGTGACTCGTGTTGGGTGACTTCAGCTGGTGTTGGGGTCACTGGAGAGATATTTCGGGCGTTGCGTCCTAATGTTACGGTGGTGTCAGGGGACGCACTGTAGACTTTGAACCCTGGCTCTTATTTATGACAGTTACTGTCTTCCATGACCGATGACATTAAATCACATTACAGCATGTCATGTTACATGAGTCTATTTCTGACAAACAGTCTCTGTGGGGTTGTAGAAGCACATTAATTATGATCTCTCTATATATGAATCCCTGTACATGTCTGCTTACAATTGTAAAGTTGTTAATCAGAGAGTCACTTTCACTGGTCAGTTTTAACTCTTGACAGGTTTTTCCTTTCAGGGGTTTCTTGATGTGTTGTTTGTGTGCTTATTGTTCCCTCAGCTAACAAAATATGTTCTAAGAACTTTTTGGTAATGTTTCTGTTATTTCTGAATGTTCAAAACTCCAATAATGCAAACTTAAACATTAGGGAATGTTCCATTTACGAATATTATGATTTTACCTTTATATGTTCTCTGAATGTTTTGAAACTAGTAGTAGTATGTTTAAAAATGTTAAAGGAACATCCAACTAGAATTATGTACTGTATAGATTAAATTTTTTGTGCTTTTAATGTTTAAAGAGCATTATTAAAGACCAGATAACTTTGAACTTTCATTCTGGCATTGGGTTGGACATTTACTGTAGTGAAGATGCTTTGTAATTCATATTATAGAATGTAGTACAATCAGGTAAGAAGCCACTCTGGGTAAGTGCATGTTTACTAGAACTTTATTTACATACAGTGGGTACGGAAAGTATTCAGACCCCCTTAAATTTTTCACTCTTTGTTATATTGCAGCCATTTTCTAAAATCATTTAAGTTAATTTTTTTCCTCATTCATGTACACACAGCACCCCATATTGACAGAAAAACACAGAATTGTTGACATTTTTGCAGATTTATTAAAAAAGTAAAACTGAAATATCACATGGTCCTAAGTATTCCGACCCTTTGCTGTGACACTCATATAGGTCAAAGGAACTGCCTGAAGAGCTGAGAGACAGAATTGTGGCAAGGCACAGATCTGGCCAAGGTTACAAAAAAAAAATCTGCTGCACTTAAGGTTCCCTAGAGCACAGTGGCCTCCATTCCTTAAATGGAAGACGTTTGGGATGACCAGAACCCTTCCTAGAGCTGGTCGTCTGGCCAAACTGAGCTATCGGGGGAGAAGAGCCTTGGTGAGAGAGGTAAAGAAGAACCCAAAGATCACTGTGGCTGAGCTTCAGAGATGCAGTCGGGAGATGGGAGAGAGTTGTAGAAAGTCAACCATCACTGTAGCCCTCCACCAGTCGGGGCTTTATGTCAGAGTGGCCCGACGGAAGCCTCTCCTCGGTGCAAGACACATGAAAGCCCGCATGGGGTTGTGAGATGGTGAGAAATAAGATTCTCTGGTCTGATGAGTCCAAGATAGAACTTTTTGGCCTTAAGCGTTTTTTCTAAGCGGTATGTGTGGAGAAAAGCAGGCACTGCTCATCACCTGTTCAATACAGTACTAACAGTGAAGCATGGTGGTGGCAGCATCATGCTGTGGGGGTGTTTTTCAGCTGCAGGGACAGGACGACTGGTTGCAATCGAGGGAAAGGTGAATGCGGCCAAGTACAGGAATATCCTGGACGAAAACCTTCTCCAGCGTGCTCAGGACCGAAGGTTTACCTTCCAACAAGACAATGACCCTAAGCACACAGCTAAAATAACGAAGGAGTGGCTTCACAACAACTCTGTGACTGGTCTTGAATGGCCCAGCCAGAGCCCTGACTTAAACCCAATTGAGCATCTCTGGAGAGACCTAAAAATGGCTGTCCACCAACGTTTACCATCCAACCTGACAGAACTGGAGAGGATCTGCAAGGAGGAATGGCAGAGGATCCCCAAATCCAGGTGTGAAAAACTTGTTGCATCTTTCCCAAAAAGACTCATGGCTGTATTAGATCAAAAGGGTGCTTCTACTAAATACTGAGCAAAGGGTCTGAATACTTAGGACCATGTGATATTTCAGTTTTTCTTTTTTAATAAATCTGCAAAAATGTCAACAATTCTGTGTTTTTCTGTCAATATGGGGTGCTGTGTGTACATTAATGAGGAAAAAAAAATTACTTAAATGATTTTAGCAAATGGCTGCAATATAACAAAGAGTGAAAAATTTAAGGGGGTCTGAATACTTTCCGTACCCACTGTATATCAGTTTATTCATTTACTAGATGCTGTTTAAAGCAAACTGTGCAATGTTGATTGTATTAGTGTTGACCAGTGTTGACATTAAAGTATAAGTTGAAGGACTGAAATGATTAAAACTGAAATAAAAATAAAGCTTTGTAGAAATATTTTAAATATATATATACTTCTACGATACTACGATAAACATAACAAATGTGCTAAAAATAAAAATTACAAACTAAAAAAACAAGCAAATTAAAAAAAAAAATTGTAAAGACTTTTATAGTATATAAATAATACTAAAATAACACAGGATTCTATTGCTGCTAATGCATGTTCATCTGACCTGTCTATCTAAATTAAGACACAAAACAGCAACAAATTGAATAAAAATATTTAAAAAGTTATTTTTAAAGTTGAATACAAATAAATATAAGCAAAAACACAAAAACGACAAGCAGAACAAATAAAAAAAAAATTCGATCAAAATTTAAAATGAAAACTGATTTTATTTTTGCACATTACTATACATTTACACTTTTTTATTTTTCCCATTGGCAGCCAAATATGTGTATTTCATTGTGTTTGAGCGTGCAACTTGAAACAACTTGAAAGCTTGTTTTTACACACACACACACACACACACACACTTGTTTTTGAGAAAAGGGGGGACTCTCCATAGGCGGAAGGGTTTTTATACTGTACAGACCGTATATTCTATACCCAGTATTTTTTAGAGTGTAGCATTCCACAGATGTTAAATATTACATTTTCTTTTAATTATAATAATATTTTAGTAGATGTAAACGTAAAATATATAAAAATCGAAATAATAAATCCTATAATAGATTTAAATAACAGAATTGTATGGCTGCTAATGCATATTTGTTTATCTTACTGTCGATATTTCTAAAGAAAGACACAAAACAAATTATAATGACCTTTTATTTATTATAAATCTTTTAAATAATAAAATACAGTTTTCTCTCTCCACTGAGGTACTGACATCTGGTATATTACAGTACACAAAATGAAGAGTCCAATACTTTTACACATGCTGTGTAAAATCCTTAGAGAGTTCAATTTAATAATAAAAAAAAAATTTTTTTCAAGCAATTGTGTGTATATATTTTCAAAATTCCCTGAACCTCATAAACTATACTGGGGGTTTTAAGCTGGATACATGTACAAAGCACAACATTTCAGTGTTACAGCAGAAAGTATGATAATAGAGCATAATTTATTATTATTATTATCATTAATTATTATAGATATTTGGTTATTGGTCTATATCCTGGAGTTGTAATATTAAACATTGCATATGCATTGCATCTGATTTCAAAATACATTTTTACAGTTCATCAAGAAATATTGTTTCATGCAAACTAATTGCACAATAAAGCTTTAACAGAATATTTCTGTTGTCTTTCCAGGAAAACGTCCTTGTAGGTCCTCACATGCGTCTTTCAGATGGTCAGTACCGGAAGTAAAGAACTGGTCCACAGTCTCAGATCTGGTCAATATCATCTTGTTTTATGTTCTTTATTCTTTCCCACTGCATTTATTCAAACAAAAATCTAAAATCTGTTCTGTTCTGGTTTGTTCTTCATCAGGTGAATCCAAACAGTGGCATCTGACATGAGTTTCCTGTAGATTTAACTGGTTGGAGGAGCATCCAATAACCTGATCTGACATCAGTGAACTTCTTCTGGAGAGATGTAAGCATACCTGTGGAAATGTTGCATCATTAGTATCATTCAGAAAATACGCAATTTATCAACTGCATATATTTAATGTTTGCACATACTTAATGATTCCATTTATAGAGCAGGTACTAGTCAAGTAAAATGTATTTGTATAGTGCTTTTCACAATAGACATTATGCAAAGCAGCTTTACAGAAAATCATGAAGTTCGTGTTTATAATATCTTAATATCTTCATGCCTTATGGTTGCATTTAGCAGATTGGAGCTGGGCGACAATATAGTTACATTTTGCAATGATACAAGCAATCAAGCAGTTGAGATTTGCTATATAGTAGCCTACAGTAGGGGAAGTCATGGCCTAATGGTTAGAGAGTCGGACTCGTAACCCAAACGTTACGAGTTCGAGTCTCCGGTCCGACAGGGATTGTAGGTGGGGGGAGTGAATGTACAGCGCTCTCTCCCACCTTCAATACCACGACTGAGGTTCCCTTGAGCAAGGCACTGAACCCCCAACTGCTCCCGGGCGTGCGTTCACGGTGTGTGTGTGTTCACTGCTGTGTGTGTGCACTTTGAATGGGATAAATGCAGAGCACTAATTCCTAGTATGGGTAACCATACTTGGCCACATGTCACTTCACTTTACATACAGTATATCACCCTACGAGAGTGTACTGCATGATTAAGTTGGACATACTTGTATATACAGCTTTATCATTTGGAGCTGTATTAATATAGTGTCTAGTGAATCACTGGTTGTAACTCACCTCAATCACAGCTAAACTTCTGTTGATGCCTTGGAACGAATCGGCTCTTGAAACTGACACTGCGGTAGACACAGAAAAACGTAATTAACATTCAGTCTGAACTAATTATTTTCCTTATGGAATATCAGTATCAAGCTATGTCTCAAACCCTAGTTTTTGCTCATTTTAAGTGTCAACATAAACACTTAAAAGTGTATTTTGGAATTTTTCTTTCCACGTGTCTGAAACAAATAGCCCAAAATCTTCAAATTGACCCGTGCATGGGGGGAAAAAACAATGTTTCTGAGTGCAGTGTATTGCCCTAACACAGTACAATGTACTTCATTTTTCTGGCTTTTTTAAAGTGGTATCTTTTAAGTCAGCATTGCTTTGCCTGGAAATGTTGCCTAGAAAGGCAGCTCACAGGGTTTTGAACTGACGTGTGTTTATGTCTCAACCTTGAGAGAGCCGTGAGCATCTGTTTGTGGACTGAGCATCTTCCTGGACAGGGCAGGTGAGCCGTAGTGAAGAACATGAGCGGGAGACGACTGACACGCTGAAGGTCTGGGGTGAAGCAGTGATGACACAGACGCTCTTCTTCTTGTGGGGCAATTATGATCCGCACAGCTAAACAAACCTGCGTTCTCAGTAGAGGAATCTGTAAAGAAAGGACAGAGAGAGATGTTACAGTATATTATTCAGGCCTTTCCTTTATTATACAGAGACAATTAATTTTCCAGTAGGAGTTTTTACTACCGTATTTTCCTTGGAAAACGCTGGGTGACATGGAGCCCCTCCCAGACGAGGATGATGAGTGGCTGCCTGCGGTTGATGTGCTGCTGCCAGAGCCAATCGAATCTGGCCGTGGCAAAGCCACGCCCCTTTGAAGGCTAGACACCAAGGGGTTGGGTCTTTTCAGTATTCCTACAACTTCTGTCAGAAGAAAAGTAATGGAAAATTCAGGTAATGACTGAAAGGGGCTTTACTTTGTCAAATAAAATTAAAGCAGCTACAAAAGAGGCAATTTTTTCAGGGGCGTAGCAACTATTATACTGTATGTTCTCACATTTAGAAGATAATCATAATTAGTCTGCATTTGAGGAAGGATGATTTTTATGAAAGCTTGTTTCTGACAAAGGATAAAAAAGGTCATTGTGAATCGCAATTCTGCTATTTTTCCTCAGTATTGCGAGAAAATAAGTCATTATTGTGAGAAAAAAAAGTCCTAAATACCTTTTTTTCTCCTGTGGCAGAAACAGGCTTCCATAGTTTTTTTTTTGGGCTGCAGCGTGGATTAAATTAAATTGTGAAGAGTTGCTGTGTAAAATGACAGATTTAAAGAGATCGTTCACCCAAAAAATTAAACAATTCTGTAATCATTCACTCATGAAGGCTGTTGGTAACACAACAGTTTTGGGTCCCATTGACTTGTAGAGTATTTTTCATGGACATGCAGTAGTATATACGTATATCATCTATAAGTCAATGGGACCCAAAACTGTTTAGTTAACAACATTCTTCCAAATATCTTTTTTGTTCCACAGAAGAAGGTCATACAGGTTTGGAATGACATGAGGGTCAGTAAATGACAGAATTTTTATTTTTTGGTTATTTATTTGATCTCTTTAAGATCCAGCAGAAGCTTCTGTCAGCCTGGGACTGGGTTGAACAAATGCGCAAGTGTTAAGCAGTAACCATATTAGAGCTAGCATTCACTAACTATTATCTGCCTTTCAGCAAATTAGTTGCAGATTAGTTGGCGTAAAATCCCAATATAATTAATATTCATGACCCAAGCCACACCTGGTAAAGTTTGTGTGCCAAGACTCTGACAGAAAATAAACTACCTGATGAAAAAAGACAACAGAAGAGAAGTCATCTTTGATAAAACTATGCATTCTTTAATTTAATTTTCATAGTAAATACACTAGAATAACTGGCATTTCAGGATATTTTTCAAACTGTTCCTACGCCCTTGAGTTTATACCATGAGATCAGTTATATGCATGCAAATTGTCAGCCTGTGATTGGCTGATAAATACCTCTTCCTGTGACGTCACCATTCACGGCGTCGTTTCTAGGTTGAATGTCGGAAAAAGGTTTCCAACCCATTCCCATGAACAACCTCTCCTGTCTCCTCAGCTCTGAAACACAAACATCAACAAGTCCTGTAGATCTACAAACACATACAAGCACAAACAACATGTACAGTAACCTCTAACCATTTAAACTTTGCCTATAAATGCCTAATTTAATATATATATTTATATATATATATATATTGTTGTATTATGCTCTGACCTCTGCTCTTCAGCGCTTGTTCCCACAGTATGTGCTCCAGGTCTCTGGTCCAGGCCTCTTTGACGTCCCGTGTCTCGGCCTGTAGGATGTAAGTGTCCTGGGAGCGTCTCCTCCTGAACCAGATCTCAAAACTGCGGCCGCTCACCCCGCAAGAGTGGGTCATTCCTATCTCACAGGTCTACAGAGAAACATTAAGCAAACTTTAAATGAAATAAAAAGTGTGCAATTTAAACAAACACATAATATTTAAGCATAACTGTATTTGAAAAAAGAAAATGACTATTGACTGTTTGCAAGGTTTTCTGTAAGTTTTGACTCTGAATGAATGGGTTTGATTACCAGGGAAAACGTGAAGATCAAATATATATTTGGGGTCAGTATGATTTAAATTTTTTTTTTTAGTGATATGCATTTTTTGATATGCAAGTTTTATTATACACTACTGTTCAAAAATGTTTTGGTCTGTAAGGGTCTTAATTTCTTCAAATGTTTTCGAAAGAAGTCTCTTCTGTTCACAAAGGCTGCATTTATTTGACCAAAACTCCAGTAAAAACAGTAATATTGTGAAATATTATTACAACCCAAAATAAGTGTTTTCTATTTGAATATATAGTATACTATAATTTATTCATGTGATCAAAGCTGCATTTTCAGCATCATTACTCCAGTCTTCAGTGTCACACGATCCTTCAGAAATAATTCTAATATGCTGATTTGCATGCTCAAGATTTTTTTTTTTATTATTATCAATGTTTGAAACAGTTGTGCTGCTTCTTATTTATGTGGAAACCGTGATAGATTTTGTGAAATATTATTACAACCCAAAATAAGTGTTTTCTATTTGAATATATAGTATACTATAATTTATTCATGTGATCAAAGCTGCATTTTCAGCATCATTACTCCAGTCTTCAGTGTCACACGATCCTTCAGAAATAATTCTAATATGCTGATTTGCATGCTCAAGATTTTTTTTTTTATTATTATCAATGTTTGAAACAGTTGTGCTGCTTCTTATTTATGTGGAAACCGTGATAGATTTGATTTTTCAGGATCCTCTGATGAATAGAAACATTAATATTCTCACACACATACCTTGATAGACATTTTGTAAACGTACACATCATCTCCACAGTCGTTTTTTTTGGTCTTGGTGAAGAGGATGACGTCTTGGAAGAGAAACACTCGTCGGAGGGAACGTTTCTTGCGGAAAATTACCCAGAATTCATCCTGCCGGATCAGTTGGCCCTGCTCGTTCAGATTCAGCTGAAGAAACATAATGACAAAAAATTTTCAATTTATGGAAAAACTGGAAAGCCAGTTTCAGATCTGTGAGAAAAAGACAAAAATTTGTGTTCCAAAGAAAAAAATATGACTATATGGTGACCAATTTATTTATTTGTTTTTAAACAGATTATTCAACATTCATCTTGTAGCTTTGCCACTAACATCACAGTCACGGATGGCGTCCATAGTGAGCAGGTCGTTCCCGTGCCGCAGCTGGAATCGCACAACCTCTAGAGCCGCCTGGATCTCCTCTCGTTCTCCGCTCTGATCCGGCACACATTCGTCCAGGATCTCCTGCAGCAGCAGACTGTATTTACTGATCCTCTGGACCGGCTTCAGCAGGTACGACGAGAGATCCATGCTGTCACCCAACTCCATCTGCTTACGCTGGACGAAAAGAGGCTTGATTTCATTCCCATTCACTTCAATTAAACTCAGAAGAAATAGCAACAGATGCAGAAATAATTGTAGGATTTTTATATATAAAATATATTTATATTTTCCATGTATTTTATTTGAATATATATTTTTAATAAACATATTTTAAATATATAAATTATATAATACATTATAGAAATATATATTTTAAATATATTAACATTTAAATAATATTTAAATAAAAATACATAAATGTAAACTATATTATAATATAAAATATACTATAATATAATTGTATTTTATTTATATGCATGTTTTTGTATAACAAACTGTAGGCTCCTCACCTTGAAGTATCTGTGATGTTGGATTAGAGCGTCAGACTGGGGTTTGTTCTTGCTGTAAAGGGCGTAAAGTCCAAAACTCTCTCTCTGTTTTAATAGATATTTGTACAAGGTTAAAATGATATTCTGATGAAAATGAAAGCGGAAAGCATGATTATGATCGAAACACAGTGCTGTCTCACGTGATTGAGGAAACAGCGTCCGACTCCGAGCGGTTCTGCCTGACAGGCCTCCAGTTCCTGCTGGAAGTGCTGGCAGTGGAAGTCGTACAGCTTCTCCAGGTTACCGAAGATGCGTCCGCGCTGACCGCGAAGATCCTGCGGGACGTCCGGCCGGGACAGCAGGGGGAAGTAGTGAGTCAAGATGTAGCAGAGAGAGCGGACGTACTCCACCTCCGTCAGCAGGAGCTCCTCCATGATGCGATGAAGCTTCCTGCAGGGAAATAAAGATAAGAGTATTTCTATAATAATAATAATCGATAATGAAATATCAGCTGTGACGGCCTTCACTTCAGAAAAGTATCACCATGGAAATATTACTTTAGAAATTATTATATTATTATAGAAATCTATTATTATGCTTATTATGTTTACCTTTTGTATTACAATTGTAGTGAAACCACTACTTTAACATGGTACTGCCACTTTTACAATCCTCTATTTACTCTTTACTGTAACTTTACCTTTCTGACATCAGTGTAAGCTTTTGGACAGAGAAAGAAATAGCATGAAAAATATTGAGACTTGTTTTTTCCCCCCTGTTATACACTACTGTTCAAATGTTTGGAGTCTGTAAGATTAATAAAAAAATAAATAAAATAAAAATATTAATAGTTTTATTCAGCAAGGATGCATTAAATTGGTCAAAAGTAAAGACATTACACTAAATACATTTTTAATTTTACAGAAGATTTCTATTTCGTGCTGTTCTTTTGAACTTTCTATTCATCACAGAATCATGAAAAATAAAATGTATCAGTTTCCACAAAAATATTGTGCAGCACAACTGTTTTCAACATTGATAATAATCAGAAATGTTTCTGGAGCAGCAAATGAGCATGTTAGAATGATTTCTGAAGATCATGTGACACTGAAGACTGGAGTAATGATGCTGAAAATACAGATTTGATCACAGGAATAAATTATATTTTACAATATATTGACAGAGAAAGCACTTAAAAGGGTCACATAAATGCAGCCTTGCTGTTTATCAAAAACATAAATAAATCTTACTGACTCCAAACTTTTGAGTGATATTAATCGCTAGAATGCAAAGTGCATCTTCAAGGTAAGTAGTTTCAACTCGCAGTGATTTATCTGTATATTTAAAGACAACATGAAATGCATTAAAAAAATATGCATTCACTTTAATTTCAATTGAATTATTACACAGTTTTATTAATTTTTACATTTATTTTTAATGATTTAAATGAATAAAAAAAAATCCACAATTCTGGATAAACCTGACTATACTGTGAAACGTGTTTCAAAAGCAGAGAAAAAGTGTTACATTTTGATTAAAGATTATAAAAGTAAAATGTTTTCATCTTTTAGAATAATGCCCACTGTTGAATCGTTCATAATTAAACCAGAAACTCTTTAAGTCAAGTAAACCGTAGCCGTTCTAATTTCCTGTTGTCTTTAAGTCTCTACAGTGGGCACAAGGACACAGTGTAACTCACATGCTTCTGTTTGGGCTTTCTGGGCTGGATGCAATGTTTTCTCCATCAGTTCTCCAGCTGTCTGTGAACACGGAGACGTCTCTAGCGCCCTCCGTCTCTTCACAGACCGTCTCAGAGCAGAAGCTGCCGTGGCGAGAGTTCTGGCAGAAGACGGGCTCTGTGATGTGGAGCCCGGGTCCCTTGCTGTTGGTTCTGCTGGCTGCGTTGTGCCAAGGAAACCACTGGCAGCCCACCGCACTCGAGCCTGTGACGGGTTTCTGCTCTTGGGATGCTTTTCTGCCAACGTTTTTGCCTCTCTGGCTGCAGTCTGCAGGAATTTCCTTCCCAGTCTGAGTTGTTTTGGCCTCTTTCCGGGTTTTGTGGTTGGATCTGAAGTTGAAGCAGGTGACGGTGCCGTGAATGCTGTCTCTCGCCCGACTCGCCCTGCTCTCCGACAGCTCGGGCACAATCCCATGCTCCTCTTGTACTGGGGTGGGTGATGTGACCAGAATGTTATTTCACAATACACTGCAAAAATTATTTTTAGTATTTTTTTTCTTGTTTTCCTTTACAAATATCTAAACATTCTTGACTCATGATACAGAACATACAAACAACATTTATAAAACGGAGAGTTCCGGTCCTTGATTCTGATTGGTTTAGCCGCGTTCGAAGCTGTTGTAAATTACTCTACAAACATACACCTTTGTTTACTTGCTTTACTTGCTCGGCAAACACTTTGTTGGAGCCACAACTGTTTCTGAGGAGCTACATTGTTTGGTGGAAGAATACTGTTTTTATTTATATCATTACACTTAATTTGCTCTGTTTTATTTTGTGAAACCTTACTACGTATATGGAATAACCGTTTTATAAAAGTTCCGCTTCCCGTCGTGGCTAACGATGCACCTTTGCAGTTATAAAGTCACTGTAAACCATGGGGCTTATTGCTTTATTTGATCATTTTGATAATTTTTATGGAAAATAAGACTTAATGTCTTAAGTCATTTTACTTCTCAAGTAAATATCTAGATCCATCCTTTTCCTAATTTTTTCCCCCTTGTTTTCCTTGTTTTCCAGTACAAATATCTAAACTTAAATCAAGCTACATTTGCTTGAGAAACTAAATGACTGAAGATATTAAAGGGATAGTTCACCCAAAAATGAAAATGTGATGTTTATCTGCTTACTCACAGGGTATCCAAGATGTGGGTGACTTTGTTTCTTCAGTAGAACACATTTGATGATTTTTAACTTTAACCGTTGCAGTCTATCAGTCGTATAATGCATGGCAATGGTAACAAAATCTATGAGAGTAAAAAATGCACTGTGTAAACAATGAGTGACGTATACGCGCGAGAGATCACTTCCCGCGCGTACATGCCTCACGCACCGGACGCCGTGTGCGCGCCCAAAGACAGTTGGACATAGTGGTGTATCAGAGGTAAAATATGATATAAATACTGTTCTTTTCTAAAGAAAAAAAAAATTCTGTCAGAATGAAGAGAGTTTATTTACCCTATTGCCATTAGCCTACTTTTTAAATTCCAAATTTTGATATATAAACTTGCAATTGCGAGAAAGAAGTCTTAACTGAGACATAAAAAGTCACAATTATGTCACAAAAAAAACCCTGCAAGATGTGATCTCTGAGTTCTGAGGAAAAAGTCACAATTCTGATTTTTTTTTAAAACTCTTAATTCTGAGGAAACATTTCAGAATTACATGATATAAACTCAGAATTCAGAGAAAAAATTCACAATTTCATAATGTAAAGTTATTAAAAAGTCACAATTGCACGTTTAGAACTTTCAATTCTGAGGGAAAAAGTCAGAATTACATGATGTAAACCTACAATTTGGAGAAAACTATTGCAATTGCAAGTTTATAACTCATTTCTAAGAAAAAAGGTCAGAATTACAGAATGTAAACGCAGAATTTAGAGGAAAAAAGTTGCAATCGCAGGTTAATAACTTGCAGTTCTGAGGAACAAGGTGTGAAGTACATAATGTAAACTCAGAATTTGGAGAAAATTTCTGATGTAATACATGACGTAAACACAATTTGGAGAGGAAAGTTGTAATTATGAGTTTATAACTTGCAGTTAGGAAAAATTCAGGTTTGCATGATGTAAACACAATATAAAGAAAAAAAATCACAATTACGAGTTAAAAAAAGTATGAATTATGAAATAAAATGTCGCAATTACCATTTTAATTACATTTTTATTCAATTTACATTTTTATTTTATTTTTTTCAAGCTTCCATGTCATACCACACAGCCCTATCTTGTATGGACTTTCGTGAATCCTGACCTGGAACGACCTCGGGCCAATCAGAGTGACGTCCAGCGGCGGTTTGAGCTCCTTCCAGAAGCGCCAGTCTCTCCTCCAGCTGTCGCCGGACCTCCTGGCAGTGGATCCAGGCAGGGTTCCACACCTGCAGAGCTCTGGAGCTGGAACTGGCCTGCGCTCTCACGTCCTGGAAGTGCTCGGGAGAAAACTCGTCTAATCTCTGCAGGTAAGCGTGAAGATGTGTCCAGCGCTCCTCATCTGGAGAACTGCAGTGTTGCTCCTGTTCTAAAAATCGGCTGCAGTCGCTGGCCACGGCTGATGCCTGAAAACAATTATGATTTTGTTCATACATAGGGAGGATTATGTTGACAAAAATGTGTTGCCCAATAATGTCAACACATCTCTTACGAGAAATTGACCATTTAAAAAAAACAAAAAACATGCCTACTATAGTTAAACCATGGTGACCACAAATGAACCACGGTTTTGCTACACTAACCATAGTTTAACCAGGGTATTTGCAGTGAAACTGGTAATTAATACACCAAAAACATTGTTACTACATGTTTACCATAATAAAACTATGGTTAATTTTCTTAAGGTAATCATGGAACTAATTTCAACAAAATCAAAAAATATAAATTTTTTGGTCTTATGGAAGTTGAATTCAAAATCCATTTGGCTGAAAATCTGAGGAGCCATGTTCTTTCTAGTTAAGAAAGGGTCCTAAATAAAAAATGGATAAAAAATAAGATAACTTGAACTGCTGAAATGACCAAATGTAATTATTGAAGGAAGGCAAGTTTATGCTTCTTGACTAGTTATAGCATATAACCCTCCACTAGGTGGCAGCATGATTTCATGATTTATATTATCAGTGTTTCACTAAATAAGGAGACTATAGAGTTGTTCAGTTCGTAGTCTTAAATTCTGAAAGAGAATCATATCAAACTGACCTCAAAAGACTGAACAGCTGTATTTCTTTGCCTTCAAGTCTCATAGGAATGATTGTATGTACATGAGCGCAGCTAAAATCGATTTCTGATTACGTCCTGAGTTGTAGGGTGTCAATAATCACTCATTGATCATAAGTTATAAGAATGTTGTGAATTGGTGTATTTACAGGGGTCATGAACTGGGAAACCAAAATTCTCTTGATCTTTTGACATATAAGAGGTCATTGTACTATAAAAACATCCTGTAAGTTTCAGAACTCTAAACTTTGCCGTTACTCTAAAAACAGCTTATATTGAAGCCAGTCAGCCAAAACCACAGCTTGTGGAATGTTCTACTCTATGATGTAATAGTGTGGATAAGCACCGCCTCTGCAGAAGTAGATCAACGCCTGCTTTTACATCACTGCCTGTTTAGCCCCGCCTACCGATTCTACATCGCTGCCTGTTTAGCCCCGCCCACCGATTCTACATCGCTGCCTGTTTAGCCCCGCCCACTGATTCTTCATCATTGCCTGTTTAGCCCCGCCCACCGATTCTGCATCGCTGCCTGTTTAGCCCCGCCCACCGATTCTACATCGCTGCCTGTTTAGCCCCGCCCACCGATTCTACAGCGCTGCCTGTTTAGCCCCGCCCACCGATTCTACATCGCTGCTTCCATCACAACGTTAGGAAAGTGAGTGAATTAACTTTATTTTTAATGAAGTTCCAGACCAGGTCACTAAGAACTCGGTCCTTTGTTCACTTCATTTTACCGTGGATTCGTTTACAAACAAGGCACAATTCAACATGGGATTTTCACAAAGATTGAAACTAAAAGACGATGCTGTGCCGACTATATTGGATCCGACAGTAATGTCGCAACACAAGTGTGAGTAACTGTTTGCGTCGTGTCTTTTTTACAGATCGTTTGATATGTATTGAGTTATTTATGCGTTTTTAACCTAAATCACAGCAGCGTCCATCTATGAGGAATGTACGCTGTCAAACATACACAACTGTTAGCCAATCACAGCAGTGGGATTTAACTTCTGAGTCTACAATCCTCCACAGCTACTCAAACAGAGCGTTCTGAAGAGGGGGGTTAAAAACTGGACAGAAAATAGCTTATTACTTCTAAATTATGATGTTTTTTGAAGTACAAATCTTGATAACATAAGTGGACCTTAGAGAACAGTACAAAATAAAAAACAAAGGCAGTTCATGACCCCTTTAAAGTATAAGCCATACCCTCTCGCAGAAGTGGCAGATGTACACCATCATGCCCAGCTCTTCACAGCAGCGCTCGGCCCGCGACACAAAGTCAGCCAGACTGGATTTAAATGCAGACACCATCCTGTGAAACACCTCCGTCTCGGGATAGTTCGGCCCCTGAACGCTCTCCGCATCTGACACCAGCATCATCGCCTGATGCTTTCGCTCCTGATATTGAACCAGAAACATGTTACAAGATAACTTTTGCCACAAGGTTAAACACTACAGATTTTTTGCCACTTAATGATTTTGATGCCAAAGTTGAGGTTCAATCTTTACATATTTGAAGTCACTTATGTAGTGGCTCACCATAAATTTCCTTCACTTTCACTTACGTTTGCTTCGGAGAGAAAAGCTTTGAAACTCTGCAGTGTTTGCTGGATTCGTTCACTGCAGTCTTCCACAGATTCAGCCTGCAGGAGCCGCGTTTCTCCTTCTGTGTCAAACCAGTCCTTAATCTACAGAGAGATACGCTTTCTGAACTCAGTGCATCTGAATGCAAAAGACCAATGTATACTAGAGTTCAAAAGTCTGGGGTCAGATTTTTGTTGTTGTTGTTAGAAATTAATGCTTTTATTCAGCAAAGACTCATGTAAAACAGTAAGGACATTTGTACTGTAATATTTTATAATAAATATTACAATGTTATTTTTTAAATATAATTACATTTAATATACAATCAATTATAATATTATACCATTAAATGTAATAGAAAATAATTGTTATTATTTATAAATAATTTGTTAATTCAAATATAATAATAATAATAATATTGTATAAATATTTATATAATAATAAATATGATCTGTAATACAATAATATTATAATACATTTATCAAAAGTAACAGGAAAGATATTTATGTTACAAACGTTTTCTTTAATAAATAAATGCTGTTCTTTTCAAGTTTCTATTTTTCAAAGAATCCTAAAAAAACACGTAACACGGTTTTCACAAAAATATGAAGCAAAAATGTTTCTTGAGCAGCAAATCAGCATATTAGAATGATTTCTGGAGGATCATGTGACACTGAAGACTGGAGGAATGATGCTGAAAATTCAGCTGCGCATCACAGAAATAAATTACAGTTTTTAATATATTAACATAGAAAACTGTTATTTTAAATTGTAATAATATTTCACAATATTCCTGTTTTTACTGTATTTTTGGTCAAATAAATGCAGCCTTGGTGAGCAGAAGAGACTTCTTTCAAAGCCTCAGACGTTTTGTCTTTAAAGTACAAGTAAAACCTATTTTAACAAAAATTATTTCAAACTTTTTTAATTGTCTTTTGCTTACAGCTCTCTACCTTTGCAAACCTGGACTCCATCTCTCTGAGCTGTAACAGGAAGTCCAGGTGCTGCAGGGACATATTGGACTTCCTGGCCAGGATGTGCACCTGCTCCTCCATGGTGTTGTACAGGTGTGTGACTGTGTCGATCACCTCACTGCGGGAAAACACAGATGATTTACTGTATCATGTCCCTTCAGTATTATCTGTAAGATCAGTAGAATGTGTTTGAAGCTGACATGTTGGTGTTTACCGGCTTTTTTCACAGTCTGGTGACCTCACTTCAGTTTCCCTCCTCAGCCTCGCCAGCATGGCTCCGCCTCCCCTTTGCAATCTGACCAATCGTGCGTCTTCCAGCACATCCTTCATTAGAGCTCCCTGCTCCTCAATGCACTGCTGCACATCCTGATTCACACACGATGCCATTTTACATATTCATAGAGGTCTGTGCATCATCTTTACATAAGAACAGCATGCTTTTATTTATAAATAATTTTGATTGGAGGTGGGAGGTTGGTTTAAGACAGAACAAGAGCAGAGAAAAATGTTTAATTACCTGCACTGTGTCGATCTTATGAACACCTTCCAGTTTCTTTATGGCTCCTGATAGCAGAGCAGATGCCTCCTGAAGATCTGACACAAATGGATACAGTTTCTGTAACATAAAAATTTATAATTGTAAAATGTTTCATTGTAATTGAATGAAATATTATTAAATATAATAATAAATCAAGATATAAAAATATATGAATAAATAAACATCAACATTGTACTATTAAATATTATAGTATATATTTTTAAATATATAGTAATATATGATCAATTATAATCTTGTATTATTTAATATAATAATATAATTGAGAATATAAAATAATATAATAATATCATTCATAATATAAAGTTATATTTATAATATAAAATTTAAATATAATAATAATAACAATAGTATAATCAAATTTATAATATAATACGATTATTATTAAATATTAAAAAATTATTTTAAAATAGAACAATTTAATATGTAATATGTATTAATATAATATGGTACAAATTTAAATTAATAAAAAAATAATAATTATATATATATTTATTAAAAATATTTATTTTATTAATAATGCTGGTAGGGATCAGATTGCTTGCCCAATAATGTACCTGATGGATCTGTAGCCAGTCACAGTGATTGTACTGGAAGGATCCGTGTAGAGCCGCAGTCAGCTGACTGGCATCCACTATTTTATACAGAGCCTTAAGTGATGTCACAGTTTCCATCTGCAGAGGGTTGAGAAGATCAAAGTCTGTTAGAGATTTGCATGCACAACAATATTATACAGAAAAGCAGTGAAGCCAGGTGTATGTGTGCAGTTCTCAGCTCTCCTGACCGTAACGCCGGGCCTTTTCTCATGACTGTGGCTGTTGTCCTTATTCAGCAGCAGCAGAACCCAATGCACAGCATGAGGATCGAGCTCCTGTGGACAAACGCTCAAGATTTAGTGCCGAAAGAGGTTTTCAAGCTGCAGTTTTAACCCAAACACACACACACACACCTGGAGCGTGAGGAGAGCTTTGGTGATCTTTGGATGTGGTGGCTTCTTCCGTGCATTAAACACCACCGTCATCCCTAGATCTTTTTCTTTCCTAAAAATAACATACATCAGTCTTTCAGCAGTGAACATCTCTGGTGTGTTTGTAAGGCAGTTGTTGTACCTGGTGATGGTGTGAAAGTACAGCAGTAGTTTGCAGATCTCCTGGCTTGAAATGGGTGCAGAAGCCCAGACCTGATGATCTCCATAAATCTCCACCACTGCTCGGCCTGAACGGTCCTGGCCCCCTGCAGGAGGCAGATGAGGTCAGACGGACAGACCATGACAAAGTGGCTAATGCTTTCATTACTGCAGTCTGGGATCATCTGTTTTCGCTTGCCTTGTACAGTATATAGACATTGAATTTCAATAGAAAACACAACATGGGCTCGTTCCAAAAACATGTTATTGGAGAAGAAAGGGATGCTATTCATGGGGTTCTTAGTCTATAGTTTTCATTGCTCAACAGTAAGGATTTGTTTCTGCTTGCTTTGCTAGGCCAATAATTAACATTCTCACTGGCCCCAACACAATATATTATATAGTGCATTTTTTATATATAGAAAATTTACACTTATTTTTAATTTTAAATATATAATTTCAAGAATATACATTCAAATTTATTTATTTATTACATTTAAATTCATAATTTAAAATACAAAATTATACATTTACTTTAAATTTTTTTCATTAGTTTAATTTTAAATAATTTAAAGACTATATTTTATATATTATGTTTTAATTATATAATTTAAAATTAAAATTTACATTTAAAATATACTTAAATTTTTTTTGAAAAATAGACATTATATATAGCTAGATCAGTTAGATCGTTTTCTTTTGCTGACAACCAAATGACAGAACACCAGATGTCTACAGTTTCAAGGCATAAAAATGCATGTGATTTTAATTTGGATTCAAATGAGATATTGGGGGGGGTTTACCTGTAAGACACATCATTCCTGAGTGAAAGAGGCCGTCAGCTGTAAGTGCAGGAGGTGTGGATGATCTGGAGGGTGGTCTCTCTGTTTCAGCTTGCGCTGATGCGTCTGAAAGATTTATCCGTGGTCCAGCAAGAGGAGAGGACAGAGTTTTTGAGTCCTGAGAGAGATCTTCAAAGGAATAAGTCAACATGCATTAAAACATGATCAAAGATGTTGCTTTGCTTCTAATAAGATTCATTAGATCATAAGGACTTGCCTTTAAATAAAACATATTGAATATATTTGATCAAACATTGATCTTTTCCTCCTTTTTTCCTAGGTTAGTCTTTTGAAAAGTGTCTGGATGGATATAAAGATAGATGTAGAATGCATGGATGGATGTAAAGATACACTCTTAAAAATAAAGGTGCTTCAAAAGGTTCTTCAAGCGATGCCATAGAAGAACCATTTTTGGTTCTATTCAGTCAAAGGTTCTTTAAAGAACCATCTCTTTCTTACCTTTTTGTAATCTGAAGAACCTTCTTTCGCCACAAAGAACCTTTTGTGAAACAGAAAGGTTCTTCAGATGTTAAAGGTTCTTTATGGAACCATTTAGACAAAAAGGTTCTTCTATGGCATCGTAGATGGATATAGAATGGATGGATGGAAAGACGGATAGATGTAGGATGGATGAATGGATGGAAAGATTGATGTATGGATGGAAATGCAGATATAGGATGGATAGATGGAACAATAGATGATGGATTGTTGTAAAGATGGATGTTAGGACAGATAGATAGATAGATAGATAGATAGATAGATAGATAGATAGATAGATAGATAGATAGATAGATAGATAGATAGATAGATATAGGATGGATTGAAAGATAGATAGATAGATAGATAGATAGATATAGGATGGATTGAAAGATTGAAAGCTCTTAAAAATAAAGGTGCTTCAAAAGGTTCTTCAAGCGATGCCATAGAAGAACCATTTTTGGTTCTATTCAGTCAAAGGTTCTTTAAAGAACCATCTCTTTCTTACCTTTTTGTAATCTGAAGAACCTTCTTTCGCCACAAAGAACCTTTTGTGAAACAGAAAGGTTCTTCAGATGTTAAAGGTTCTTTATGGAACCATTTAGACAAAAAGGTTCTTCTATGGCATCGTAGATGGATATAGAATGGATGGATGGAAAGACGGATAGATGTAGGATGGATGAATGGATGGAAAGATTGATGTATGGATGGAAATGCAGATATAGGATGGATAGATGGAACAATAGATGATGGATTGTTGTAAAGATGGATGTTAGGACAGATAGATAGATAGATAGATAGATAGATAGATAGATAGATAGATAGATAGATAGATAGATAGATAGATAGATAGATAGATATAGGATGGATTGAAAGATAGATAGGAGGGTAGGTTTCATATATCCAAGATGGGGTTGGACGGATGGGATGGATAGATAGATAGATGGATAGATGGAAAGATAGATATAGGATGGATGGATGGATGGATGGATGGTTGGGTATGTTGGTGGGTGGATTCATGAATGGAAAGAGAGATGGGTATAGGATGGATGGATGGAAAGACAGATGATGGATGGAAAGAGATATAGGATGGATGGAAAGATGAATGAATGAAAAGATAAATGTAGGATGGATGCATGGAAAGATAGATTGATACTGGATTGATGGATGAAAGATAGATAGGTGGGTGGGTTTATGAATGATGGATGGATGAAAGATAGAAATAGGATGGATGGGTGTGTTGATGGGTGGGTTTATAGATGGATGGACGGGTGGGTGGATTGGTGGATAGATAGATAGATAGATAGATAGATAGATAGATAGATAGATAGATAGATAGATAGATAGATAGATAGAT